ACTTCAAAGCAAACTGGGTTTCCCCACGTACTGCTGTGGAGGATCATACGTGTGTGTGACTGTAAGGCTCGGGCTTTGTATCCCTTGTGCTGGACTCTGTGCAGACGTGAAACAAAGAACTCTGCTGATGGGGTATGGAAAGAGGAGTGAGTGGGAAGAAGCAGAGAAGTAGTTTGCCTTTTTTTTTTTTTTTTTTTTTTTTTTATTTTTTTCTATAAAATCTCCAGAAGAATTCGTCATTTTTTTTTAATATGCTCTAGATAATATCCAGTAGAACTAGTGCTTGTCCAGAGGCTTTGTAGGTGGTTTTGAAATTTATTTAAAAGAATCCAGTGTACCTAATTTTTGGACTGAGTATTTTCTAAGAGTGTTCCCCGCGCCCTGTCTGTAGTGAGTCATTTGTCATCAGATTGGTTCAGTGCACTGCTGACTCTCAGAAACGTTTTCCTTCCTTGTTGAGTAGGGAAGGAAGATTGTGGTTACAGCCAGACTTTTTTCCCAAACGCTGATGTTTGCTGACGAGGTGTACAGTCCTTCCCAAATTTGGCGTGATATTCCATGTGACATTAGTAGACATTACGAAACGTGCTGGGGAGCTCCTTGAAATTCCATGTATCTTTAATTCTTACTGAAATAGCCACATAAATTTTTCAGCCCTCTTCCAAACTGGAGCAGTCGGAGCATATTTTTCAAATTGCGTATACTGCAGTTCCTGTTCTAGAGGGTCCTTTTACAACTGGTTAGAATTAACCTCCAGCTGTTTTAAAAAATGGGGGGTTAATTTCTAGTATTTTTTCCTGAAGTTTAGAAAGAGTCTTTCCTGTTGTGCTTGTACAGAGTGAAACAGCCCAGAATGCTGGTGATATAATAGTTGTATCACTGTCTCTTGTGTTATGGCTTGGCTCTTGCTAGCAGTTTAACATATCTTTGTCTTTATTTTCAGTGGTTTGCTAAGAAGCAGTTAGAGCTCAGCTTAATGTATCCAGAGAGAGAAGCCTGACAAGATCTTTAATAGAATTACATGTGCATGATGATATAATAATAGAGAAGTTACAAGTTAATGCTACTGATACGTTTAATTGGGGACACCACTCTGTGCAGCTTTTGAAAGTTCAGGTGGATGTGTTAGGAGTTAAACATTAAGCCTTGCATCCTGAAGGAGGATCGTGCTGGTTTTCTCACAGCTGTGCCAAACAGTTTGATTGTGCATGTGTGCAATAATACGCCTGTGTATTAAACTTACACCTTGGTTCCTGCCTTCAGTGCCAGAATTAATGAGTCATTGTGAGATGATGAAGTTGGAAGTCATGTTGTAGGCTTTTATTCATTTTTCCACAATTAAAGAAAAATAAATCTCTGTTATAGGTTATGTTTGTGTCTAAAAGACATTTGTTTCTTAAGAAAAGAATAGTTCTTCGGAAGTCCAAACCTCTGCCATTCTTGTCAGGGCATGTTTTTCTTGAATCACTATTTTGTTTTGTTTTTCGTGTTATGTAGCAAGGCTTGTGGTCAGGAATTGTGTCTCTCTGGAGCTTGAACAACAGAACCGTTTCTTCAGTGCTTGCAACTGCTTCTCAATGAACAAAGGAGCGTGACTGAATCTCCTGGAATTGCTTCACACGTTGACGTACACTCACTATTTCCATGTCAAACTTTGTTTGAAAATCTTGCTGTAATAGCTACAACAGTTTCAAGAGACTTCAAGCCGAGTGAGTTCCTTAAAAATGTCTGCCAGCATGTCGAGGGAAGGGGTGAATGGTGTGGCGGATGTCCCAAGGATACTGTATTTCTGGTTATACCAGTGAGAAGCAGGCTGGGGTTTTTTGCATGCCGGAATGGTGCAAGTGTTTACCTTTCGATGGGGATAGGGGATGTGCCGATAGCAGGCTTGGGCCTTTGGGCCGTAAGCCAAACTTTACGTGTGCCTGAGATAATTGATAGGTCGGACTGAGGGTGTAGGTTGGGACCTTTCCCCTCCCTCCCACCAACCAGGGCATTTATTCATTAGCAGCTGAAGAATCACGTGTAACAGCGGGCACGTTACACGATGTGTTTGTGTAACCCATAAATATACTAGTTTTATTTAAAAGTCTTATACAGTTGGTAAACTAGTATCAGAGTAATGTCTGGGATTTTTAGCTAGCACTGCAGGGTGGTAAGAGGAGATGATAATGAACCTGATTGAAAGCCTAATTGTTGAAGGTGTGATGGGACTTTTGATTGTTTTAAATCCTGCTAAAATAGCTTGGGTATGTGTTGTAGTTTTTTCCAGATATGATCTCATGAGTTATTGATAAGATGTCCACCTTCAGTTTTGGACGTGGAATACCAGGCAAGATTTAATTGTTTGTTGTTTTGTGTTTTTTTAAGATTGTGCAGAATATGGTTTTGGTTTTATAGAACAGTTCACATTAGACAGCTGCGTTGAAGGAAATGAGAACACTTAACCATGAGTGTAGTTTTTAAATACATCAGACTGGATGTTCTTTGACTGCCAGAGAGAATGTAGCTTCAGAAGAAACTCCGATCTCTTTGAAGTGCAGGGACATGGCACTGTTTTATCCGAGGAGTAACTTTGCATGCAAACGTGTACTGTTTTTTAAAATGCTTCCTTTTTTTCCCCAGCAAAATAGATGACTAAAAGGAAAACATTCATTTCTGGCAATTGACGTTATTAGGTCAAAGTATTTTTGAGGGGTTTTTTTGCAGGTTCTGTTGTTAAAAAAACCAAACTTTCTGTGCTGTAGAATCAGTGTCACGTGCTTCTGGAAGAACAGTTGATTAAAACTAAGTTTTTGGCTGGAGGAGATGTTTTCACATGCTTTGTTTTGAGTACTAATTCTTCTGCTTCCAGTATTTGTGGAGAAAAAGGTGAACTGGACACAAGATACTTATCAATAAAAGTATTTTAAGAAATTACTGAAACTGAGAGGAGTATTAAAATTTTTGTTAAATCTGTGTTTGTAATTGAGCATCTCTAAGTAATGTCTTCTCTCGGCCTTACTTTTGCTTACGTAATGAGGGTGGTTGCACTCCCCATGTCAGAGTTCCTCATAGCTGTAAGATCTGCTCAGACGGCACGGAGGGCCTTGCTGTCCGTGTGAACGAGCCCGTCTTGGGCAGTGGGTGTCTGAGCATCTGAACGTATGGGCCAGGAAGTTGGGTTTTCTGAATAGCTGCTGCCAGTGCAAGGTAGCAGTGCTTCCCCTCTGTGTTCGTGACGGCGTGGAACTCGAGCATGTGAGCTGGTTTGTGTCTGCTGGTAAACCGCGGTTTTCTGCTCCCTGTGTCGCGTAGCGCAGATACCATGAAAGGGCAGAAACAGATCTCGAGCGGCCGGGGGTGACAGATGCAGCTTCAGGAGAGAAGTGGTGGTGGGACACGAGCTACGGGCAGCTGCCTCTCTCCTCATGGAGTTCCTGCTGCTCAAAAAGATTATGGGTTTTGTTTTTTTTTTTTTAAATAAAAAAGGGTGTGTGGGTGCTTTGTAGAACACCTAAAATAGCAAACGGTTGTACTGCGACAGTCCTGTGTGATCCCGTACTGTGCCTCCAGCAGAGGCTGGTGATGGGACATACGACTATGGCGAGCGTATAGTGGTGCTTCCTTAGGTTACATGCCCTGTTTTCAGTCATTTGTGGTTCAGGGGCTTCAAGATACTGATAAAAAAGGGTGTGTGGGTGCTTTGTAGAACACCTAAAATAGCAAACGGTTGTACTGCGACAGTCCTGTGTGATCCCGTACTGTGCCTCCAGCAGAGGCTGGTGATGGGACATACGACTATGGCGAGCGTATAGTGGTGCTTCCTTAGGTTACATGCCCTGTTTTCAGTCATTTGTGGTTCAGGGGCTTCAAGATACTGGGAATTAATAGCCTGCAATGGATTTTTTTGCCATATATTCGTACAGTCACTTTTGTACCTATGTAAATTCTTAGTATTTATAGCATAATGTGGCAGAAAGCTCCGTAACTTAACTATGCATTGCATAAAGAACTGTCTGCGTGGTTTATTTTTTATGAACAAGTCAACTGATATATTTGCTTATCTGCAGACACAAATCAGTTTGGGCATAAACCTGGCCATTTCTTTTACTAAACGCATTAGAAGATTCACGTGAGTTTTCCCATTTACTTATGCAGGAGTTACTTGTGCAACCTCCGGTATTAATGAGCTCAGGACTCATGCCTGTCTTTAGCTCAGGGTATTGGTGAGTCATCCCTTGCAGAACTTGTGGGTTTGGGATTTATTTATATATATTTACTTATATATACTGTAAAATCTGTTTGCCCTGCTGTGTGCTAGATTCCGTGTCATTTAAAAACGTTTTCAAAGCATTTGGGATCAAAGAAGCTATTGTATTTTTTGCTGACTCTAGGGGTTTCTTGGTTTTGTCTTGGCTTGCTAGCTCATATGTTGTGGTGGTGTGGTGATGCAGGTGGAGGACATAGACACTTGAAAATACATTCATAGATAAAAAAAAACCTTGGAACCACCTGTGGAGCTCTCATAGCTCGTCTGCTCAGTTTTTAAACACTGAAGTTGTGCTCCTGTGTGGAGACAGTGGACCTGTTACTTCTTAGTCTGCTGTATTTCAACACTTTGAAGTCCAGATTTCATCATAAGTCATCTTTACTATTAAGCTAAATTTCCCAGAAGAACTGGGTCTTAAATTTTAAAAATATATTTCTGTTTTTCCTTCAGCTTTACCAGCAGGGCCGCTTATGCCAGCTGGGTAGTGAATTTTGTGAACTAGAAGTTTTTGCAAAGGTGCTACGAGCTTTAGATAAAAGGTAAGTATCTTAATACATCGATAATTCTCATTTCAGCTCTTACCTCTTGATCTAGGTTTCTGATTCTAGATGTCTCTAATTTTCTTGGCCTTCCTAGCTGTAGTAATACATAAGAATATCTCATTAGATTTACAGGTTAACTTTTAAGTTACAATGTGTCTTTCTGTGTCAAAAAATATAACAATCTGAACTTCTGTGCAAGTGTACCAAGTCATCTGTGGTACTTGGTTTCCAAGGTGCTTTTTTTGTTACTGCTGTGCCGCCAGTTGTCGTGGTTTAACCCCAGTAGGCAGCTCAGCACCACGCAGCCGCTCGCTCACTCCCCCACCCAGTGGCAAGAGGGAGCGCATTGGAAGGGCAAAAGTGTGAAAACTCGTGAGTTGACATAAAGACAATTTAATAATTAAAAAAAACAGAGGAAAACGAAAACAACAAAAAGGGGGAGGGGGGAGCACAAGCAAGAAAAACAAGTGATGCAAAAAGCCCCAGTTGCTCACCACCAGCTGATCAGTGCCCAGGCAGTCCCTGAGCGATGGCAGTCACAGTGTCCATTTCTTGCTGTTGTAGCAAATCTGAAGTGAAGGGTTATCAAGCTGATAGGACTGTCCCAGTTTAAAGAGTTTTCCTGTCATTAAATATTCCAATTTGTGATGTTGTGCTCAAGACTTGACTTTTTTAGATCAGATTCTCTGTAACCAGGATAAGCTTTGAGTCTTTAGATGTACTTGCCTTCCGTTGTTTACGTGAGTGTGATACTAATGAATTCGTCACTGCTCATTTATCTGCAATTTCTGTGGGAGTTGTGGGGTGAGGGTGGATCTGAGGCTTCCCCCCCCTCGAAGTTTTAGCTGAAAGTGTTGTTTTCCAGTTTTAATATTGTGTGGGTAGCTTGTGTTTTGCTTACACTGGAGGGTGTCCTTGTAAAGAACTCCGTGTACACTCACTTTATTTGTAGGATAATCCAACAACTGTAATCCATTAGCATGGAGATTGACAATTATGCTTGTATTCATCTGGTTTTGGTTTGGGAGAGGGTTGGGGTTGTTTCTCTGAATCACTGCTCGTTTGAATTCATGGCATTCAAGAGCCAACTGACTGCAGTGTTCTAAAAACTTTGTGTGTAATCAAATTCTCATTTCTTTTGTTTCAGACATCTGCTTCATCACTGTTTCCAGGCTTTGATGGACCATGGAGTAAAAGTTGCTTCTGTACTGGCCTATTCTTTCAGTAGACGCTGCTCCTACATCGCAGAATCGGATTCTGCTGTAAAAGAAAAAGCAATCCAGATCGGTTTTGTTTTAGGTAACTGGTGATGTTAGGTTGTTTGAAGTGTGATACTTTTTTTTCATGCAAGCTTCTGTTAAGCTGATGCTATTTTTTCATGTTAATGTCTGTGATTTTTCAAAGAACATGCGTGTTTTTGGAACTAATTTTTAGAAAACTGCTTGGTGTCCTAAGAAAAATATATTGGATTTTAATACCCAAGAATATGTAGGCTTGTGTTTGTGTCGTGGTCCAAAACCAGGACACTTTGCAATTTCAGATGTTTTAGATCTAAAATTTGTTGGCGGATGTGATGCTTAATATTAAGACTTTGCATAATTTTAGTATTGGTAAGTATTTCTTGACAGAAAACTGTAGGAAAACTGTGTAATGCCAAAAAGCGATCCTCAGCTGAAGGAGAATTCTTCTACTCTTATATTTCAGCCTTTTCAATTCAGGGCTGGAGGGTGTAACCTTGACAGGATTCCAATATGTAGTATGCAGTTCTGTGAAAGAAGCAGTCTTCTTACAAGACTTGAGCAAACCCTTTTTCTCTTAAAAAGGTGTTCTGGTGTTCAAATTTCTGTTTGTTCTTTGTGGTGTTCAAATTTCTATTTGTTCTGGATTTTTATTTTTTTTTCCCCTTCCCTGCAGGAGGGTTCCTATCGGATGCAGGCTGGTACAGTGATGCTGAGAAGGTATTTCTTTCCTGCCTTCAGTTATGCACCCTTCATGATGAAATCCTGCATTGGTTTCGTGCCGTAGAATGTTGTGTAAGGTGAGCTCACCTTTAATTCCTGGATGTCTTGCTGTGAAATACCCATTAGCGTGTTGCCAACTGCAGTGGAGCCATCAAGCTTCAGATGCTGCTGCACTGAAATACTTTCCTGGCTAGAGCTGAAGATCGGGAGGTGCTTGTTTTACACTAATTCCTGGGTTTTCAACTTGTAAAGTGGCAGCACAGTTCCATGGAAAAAACCCACCGTTTTGCCTTTCTGCAGAATGTGTCATCGGTAAAAGGTGCTGCATGGTCAGAGGGGTCCAACGCTTTGTTTTTTCGAGGGTTTTTGCATGTGAAGAAATGTTACGTCTCGGTGTTTGCTGAAATTACATTTACTACAAGAAAAATTTGCCAAATCCAAACACAAATGATATAAATACAGTTGAGCAGAAATAAAAGGAAAACATACCTTTCCTGACTCCAGATCCAGAGAGCTCTCTGGCGCTGTGCTGAGCTGCTTCACTGTGCGGTTAGGTGAATACCTAGGTGTCCAGTTCTTGCGGGCATCTTCAGACACAGCTTGAATATTTAGAAAATAATTTTTACTTTTAGGAGGCATTTGGGTTTTGTACCTGCCTTGCGTCTTCTCAAGGCCTGTAGTGGGGTCCACTGAGATTCAAATTCCATTCACAGAGGCCTCAAAGATTATGACTTCCAGTTTTTAGTTGCTCTGCGCTTAGGTCTGTGTATCTGGGTGTGTGCTGTACTGATGCAGTCTGCAGCAAGCAGCCAGGTTGTTTTCACTGGTAACACCAGGACTGACCTCTTTTGCCTGCTGCAGGTAGGCACTTGAATACCTGCGTGCTAGGGAGCATAGTTAAAATAGGGTTGGTTTGGTTTTTTTGTAAGCTGATGTAATGAACAACAAAGTATGTGCTGTATTATCTCAATATAGGACAAAACTTGTTTTGGAAAACAGCTCCAAAAAAAGCCTGCATCTTGTTTATGGCTGGACAAATGTGAAGAGCAAATAGGCTTTGCCAGTAGCTGCTTATTTTGTGTGCCAGCCAGAGGGCCGTGGCAACGGGTGCTGCTCTGCCTTGCTCTGCCCTGCCAGCTCCCACTGGCTTTCACTCCAGAAATAGGATGATGCCAGGGGAAGGCTGGGCACACACATACACGCCTTGCTAGAACTGCAGAGCGGTGGATGCAGTACTGCTGTTAGTACTTGGTCCTTTGCCTTCTAATTAATCTAAAAAAGTTTCCTAGTTGTATTGGGCTGTTTGGCAAGCTGGAGAAGTTGCCTTAAAAATACACTTTCTCCCCATCTCCAAATAGAAAAAAAGAAAAGAAAGTAAAGAAAGGGGGGGAAAAAGGTGACTGTCTCTCTCTGTTGGACAGCAACATACAGCCCACGCAGCTGTGGAAAGAAGATTTTCATTTTCTGCTAAAAAAAACCCTCCCATGGTGGGATGAATGCTTCTGAATTAGGGATGTTAATTCTGTTTGGGCAGAGACAGACATTGTTCTTGTAGTGAAAGCTGATGGCCTGCGTGTAACCTCGCGTCCCTCTGGGCAACAGCGTAAAGGAGGAGACACTGCTTTATGTCCAGGCATCGCCCAAACAGTCAAGTAACAGCATCGTTCACTTGGAAATGTATCAAATGGAAAGAATTTAAAAACACTTTCAGAAGTGCCAAGTATGTAAAATCTGAAAACCTTTTCATGGGAGAGAGTAGTAATTCGGCTTCAAAGTCATGAGGCAGTAAGATAAATGTTTTGCTGTCACAGTCTAATCCCTGCTACTGCTGTGCTGGCACTGGGGTTCGGTGAAGTTTGAAGAGAACAAAATTCAAGTCCAGCTTTTGAAAATATGACACTCTTTAAAAAAGTGGCTCCTCTTGTTCTAAAAGCTAGAAAGTCTAATTTCTGGGAGTTTAATACATTTTATTATTAATAGAATACAGTTTAAAAAATTTAAGGTTTTGTGTTGTTTAGACACATAATCTGGTGGTTCTTTGTACTAGCAGTAGTGAGTTATATGGAGAAACTGGAGAAAATTTGGAGGTTTGAGATTTCTGCAAGCTTGTCTACAACTTTCCTGCATGTGTTGTGCTCCTTCTGGTTTGCTTTCTCTCGTTATTATGTGTCAAACAATAAGGCACAAATACATGGTTCTCCCATGTCACTGGTTCACATTTTGCTGATTCTTGGGTTTTTTCTGATGTTTTTAGACTTCCTAAGCTGCTGTGTAACCCTGTGTTTGTTACATTTGTACGCTCCTAGAGGATGATTGGGGGGGAAAATTGCGGGGGGCGGTGTGGGCAAGTTATTCCGCAAAAGCTATTATTGCAGACATCAAAGAAGATTCATAGCTATTAGCATAAATGTCCTAAGGCATTTATTCTTCCTCTTGGCTTTATCTTCTGAAAGTCCTTTGGATTAATAAAGGATTTTTTGTTACTGAGAACCGGATCACATGAACTCCGCTTATCCTGGAGGATTGGGTTAGGTTTAGCTTGGTTTTTGGTCGATTTCTTTGTTGTTAGACACCATCACTGAAGCATCCAGATACTGGATATTATCTTTCCTAGGCGCTTATCTAAATTGCAGTACTATCCCTGCCGGCTTATACCATTACATGGCATTTGGGCTTCGTGTTTTTGATGTTGCGTGGCAGCTCCCAAGTGAATGGTGTCGGCAAAATAGTTTCCCTCTTCAGGGAAACTGCAATTGCTTTGTATTTCTGTAGTTTCTTTAAAATTCCTGCCTCCTGTTGTTTGAATGTTAGATGGGTTTCTGCTGCCTGTGACCAAGAGCACAACGCACTTCTGCATCGTGTTTAGTTCTCAGAACTTATTTAAGGAAGAATGTGGCTGTTGCTTCTTCCCTTCTGTTCTGGAGCCACGTTGCTGTGTTTCTGGTTGGAAAGCTGGTGTTTGTTTATGTGTTTTGAAGGTTTTTCTTTTGATCTTCTCTCTGTGTGGCTAATACACATCTGCTGTGTGCTTGTCTGCCACTCCCTGCTTGAGAAAATGTGACCTTTATTTCTTTTCTGGTTAGTGTTTGAGTTCCCCGGTCCGTTTCAGTAGGAAGGGATGGGAGGAGGCGATGTTGGAGGCAGGCGGAATGTGAGGGCAAACTTCCATGTATTTGTTACTTTGCGATTGCAGAAGGCACGGCCGCAATAACTTGTGCATCTCTGCTCAGGGTAAATGGTAACGGGGAACAGGCTCCGGGGAGAGAAACGTTTGACCAAAAACCTGACTGTTCTTTCCTCCCCCCTGAACAGTTTAGTGGAAGATCTATCATGGTGTATCATAAAAGGTACAAGATCCTGTACCTGTACGCTAGCTCACGTTTTCAGAGTTTCAGCCGCTCTGCAATACGGCGTTACGCTCTGCTTCACTTTGTGTGTTTCTCTTCCTGTGTTCTGTTCTGCTCCTGATTTGCAAAGGCTTGCCTGATGTTTTTCAATCTGTTACTCACTGCCTAATAACAGATTTCCAGGAGGGACAGTGGAGGTTAATTGACCAAAATATCATGTGTGCTAAGTGGCAGGCGTTTGCAGCAGAGAAGCCTGCAGTGGGCAGGAGTACAATTCTGCCCTTTGAGCTTGGAATATGAGAACACACACACACTTCCAATGTAGCTCTTTAAAGTAAAGAAGCATCAGCCTACACTAATGAAAAAAATTCATTTGTTTTGAGTAGATACCAGAAGCTGAAATTGTTACTTCTCTGGAGGAACAAGGGTATGTTTCAGTAGTGCTGTGTTTTATTGTCTGCAGTTGGCTGTCGCTTCGTGAAGCTTCTGTGAATCCTGCAGATGGAAAGGCAGCGCGTTAGGAGATGGGACAAGGCAGGGGGAGAGGTTTCTCAGACTTGTTGTGAACTGGGCCAACAAAGTAGTCTTTTCTGATGGTGTGAAGTCAGTGCTGGGTGTGCTGTCGAATGGATGCTGTTGAATCTCTTGTGAAGACACCCCCCTGCTCTACCCCCGTAAGCCCCAAGACAAAAAGTGCCCACAGGCAAAGCACTGTGCTGCTTAAGGTTTGAGGAGAAAGTGCAGAGGGGCGTGAGCGCTGGCTATGTCTGTACTTCTTCAGTGTCTGTTTCAGTTTGCTGTACTTCGGAAAGAGGTAGAAGGGACTTAATACTATGTATTACAGGGTTTTGGAAGTAGAATTTTATCAGTGCTGAGAAGGATGGATTTTAGGAAGAATAAAACACAAAGCCATCACAGCGAAGTGGTTCAAGCATTGGATATGTAAAACTGCATCAATACGTAAAATCATTTGACATCTCCAACAGTAAAAATTCTTGCAATTAAGGAACAAAGCATGGTCTACTGAAATAATATTTTCTAAATAGTTCTTCCGTATTACTGAATTCAGACAGTGCGATTTTGTTGGGATGACAGCCCAGTTCTGTTGTAAGTATAATACCAAATTGTAGATCCGAGGTACTACTGTATATTGAAATGGTTTATTCAGGCACTGTTTAGAAGATCTCTTTACATCTTCCTAAGGTTGCTGCATGTTCGAAACGGTAACTGTAAATATCACTTGGGAGAAGAAACGTTCAAGCTGGCTCAGTCTTACATGGACAAACTGGCCAAGCACGGTCAGCAAGCGAACAAGGCAGCGCTCTACGGGGAGCTGTGCGCGCTGCTCTTTGCCAAGAGCCACTACGATGAGGTGAGTGGGCCTGGGGGGTTGTTTCTCTTCACGACACTGGTTATGGAGTCTGCTGGGGTGTCCCGTGTCTGGCGCATTATTCATGTTATCTTTCCAGCTGGAGTTCCTGATCTTTTTCTGGTACCTGTGTGGCAGTACCAGAGGAATGCTTGATTTATTGACTTTATGTATTGTTCTGGGGTAGTCTGCAAGCTCTTAACGGTGCTATGACCAGCATTAAGAAATGACACGTGGGAGAGTGGTAGTAGGTGTTGGTCATCGGTACGTAAAATACTATGAAAAGCTGATTTTAGCAGGCAAAATGAATAGCAGAACACAGATGACAATTCTTTGCATCTGTTGCATCAAAACTGTGTCTTAAGTGTAACTGCTGTATAAACTGTGGTTTCCCTTTAGCTCCTAAGTACACTGACCAGGAAGTTGTCCTACACAATAGGAACTGTGAGGATTACTGAAAGATTATAAAATACCCTTTTTTGTCTGTAAAAGTCATTGTAATAATATGTGCCTTAGGCTACTATAAAATACTTGCTTACACATTCAGTATTAACCTTAAAAGTGCTTTTTAAGTCTGTCTTTTAAGACATAGCTGAACAATTTTCATTACACACAAGCAATTAAACAGTATTTTTTAAATTTTGTGATGTAAATGACCAGAATTCAGAGGCAAGTAATATTTTTCTTCATGCTGCAATGTAGTGAAGTTCCAGCTTCATTATGTTGGTAACTCTTTCTTCAACAGGCTTATAAATGGTGTATAGAAGCTATGAAGGAGATCACCGTTGGCCTGCCTGTCAAAGTAGTAGTGGATGTTTTACGACAAGCTTCGAAGGTGAATTTAAAATCTTCCCTGTTTCTTTTGTAACTAAATTGCTACTGAGAATGGGTGAGGATAGGCACTACGTCCAGCGTGCTCGGGTAACCAGGTCCATTTCATGGGCCTTACGGCTTGTTATTTGTGTTTAGCTGGCCCACCTCAGTCTCAGACCGATGGGGATTTTGTGGTGGTTTGGTTTGGTTTGGTTTTTGCTGAGTTCAAGCTGTTCAAATGAACATCGTGACAAAGTGAACCTGGGAGCGTTCTGTACAAAGGTGGTCTGTTCCCCTGTTTCATCTAGGCTAGGTGCAGTACTACTGGCCCTTTAGTTAGACATTTATGGCAGAATGAAATACAAGTTTATTAATAGTTATCTGTGAACCTTATCTGTGAACCTTCTCTTGAATAACTGGAAAGTCCTTTAGTAACCCTGATGACACTTTTAAGTTAAAAGTAGTAGTTAACAACTGCGCCAGTGTCTGGAGGAGAGGAGTTCTGAGTATACACCTCCTCACATGCTGCATTTCCACCTGTTTAGGCTTGTGTTGTAAAACGTGAGTTTAAGAAGGCTGAGCAGCTGATAAAGCATGCGGTATACCTTGCCCGGTAAGTAGCATGCAAAAAGACCCCTTTTAACATTATGCTGAATTTGCCTCAATTAGTAATACGAGTATGTTTCTACAGGGAGCATTTTGGAGCCAAGCACCCCAAATATTCCGATACGCTACTAGACTACGGATTTTACTTGCTCAACGTAGACAATATATGCCAATCTGTTGCAATCTATCAGGTACGCAGCAGGGCTGAATGTCTGTCTGCAGTATCTCGAGATATTCGTAACCTCTCAAATGTTTGTACTGAAACTCGTGTGCAGTTAATTCATAGAGAGAGATAATAGTTGCTTTAATTACTGCAGTGCATGTTCATCAAAAAAACCAAAACACCCCCCCAGCTATGGGGCTTTGCTTTCTTTTTTATTTTTCCCAGACTCTTAAGTGGGTTTTATGTATTTACCGCCTCAAATGTGTAGGTATAGGCCTACAGAATTTCAGAGCCGGTAGATTTTCTCCCACCTCCCCCCCAGCTTTTAACAGTGGGAGAGATTAATTTGGGTTTTTTCTGTAGTAACCGCTGGAATGGTATTCTTGTAACTCTTTCAGACAGCTCTTGATATCCGGCAGTCGGTATTCGGAGGTAAAAACATTCATGTAGCTACAGCTCACGAAGACTTGGCTTACTCTTCGTACGTTCACCAGTACAGCTCTGGAAAATTCGACAATGCACTGTGAGTACAATTGTTTGAGGTGCTGGAAGCAAATTTAGTACTGTCAATGGAGAAAAATGTTCTGAAATGATAGACTTTCCAATTAGAATTTAAACGCATCTGCTTATTGCATTAATGTTTCTAATATTTTATCAGTCAGCAGCTACCTTACGTATATGTATCTTCAATTTTGTATTTAAACTCTTTCAGGTTCCATGCTGAACGTGCTATTGGCATTATAACTCACATTCTTCCGGAAGACCACCTTCTCTTGGCTTCTTCAAAGCGAGTTAAAGGTAGTACCCTTAATGGCATTGCTGGGAGAGGTTGAAATCAGTCGTGCAGGTACATTTAGGGCTACAAGGATGGTGAGGGGACTGGAACATCTCTCCTACGAGGAGAGGCTGAGGGAGCTGGGCTTGTTCAGCCTGGAGAACAGAAGGCTGAGAGGGGACCTTAGAAATGCCTCTAAATATCTGCAGGGTGGGGGTCAGGAGGATGGGGCCAGACTCTTTTCAGTGGTGCCCAGCGACAGGACAAGGGGCAACGGGCACAAACTGAAGTACAGGAAGTTCCGTCTGAACCCGAGGAAGAACTTCTTCCCTCTGAGGGTGACGGAGCCCTGGCCCAGGCTGCCCAGGGAGGTTGTGGAGTCTCCTTCTCTGGAGATATTCAAGACCCTCCTGGACAAGGTCCTCTACAGCCTGCCTGCTCTGGGTGACCCTGCTTCGGCAGGG